GTAGAATTTTGGGAATCTCATTATCCTACTGATATAAATGAAATAATTCAGCAAAAAAATGCAGTTGAAATCATTCGAGAACTGGTTATGCAGGTAATTTTTTCTTTCAATTTCGTCACATTCACTAAAAAAATCGTACAATTCACACGATAACTCCTGATTCATTATTCTATAAATAATTATTTATTTGTGCCAGAATCCACATGAAATTTCTCTCATTTGCGTGGGACCATTGACTAATATCGGTGTGGCAATTAAAGCACACCCGGAAATCAAAGAAAATATCAAAGAAGTTTTCATAATGGGCGGCAATAGCAAAGGTTTATATTGAAATGAATAAGTGAACGTTAGATAATATCGAATTTTCTTTGACTTACCTTCAATTGGTGTTGTGGTTTTAGGAAGAGGAAATTCTTTGAAGGGAGCTGAATTCAATTTTTATAAAGATCCAGAAGCGGCGCACATCGTCTTGAATTCGCTCAATTGTCCAATAACTATTCTTCCATTGGAGTGTGGAAGAGAAGAAAGCATCAGTATAACATTGGTAAATTGGTGTAAAGTTATATAATAAGTCCAAGGACGTAGCCAGGATTTCATTTAGGGTGGAGCAGAAAAGAAATTTTCAAAAAATTGAGGACAAATTTTTATTTGAAATCGAGGACATTTTCTTCGTGAAAATTTTTGAAGAGCAAAAACAAGGTCATCAATTTTGATAAATTGAAATCATGAGTTCACTTGAAGCAAATCGCTTTAATTTAGTCACCCAATTCTCGGCAATTCAAGTTCTATACCAAGTATTTCTGCAACAACACTCGCTTCATCCAAAATATTTTGCATAATGTTGTCTGCTTTTTCGCTTTTCTATTTACCGCGCACTGAAATAGATCAACACCTTTGGAAGACGTGTAAGTGTCCTCGATTTTTAGCAAAAAATTTCTTTGGAAATAGCTGTTTTATGAAATTTGTATCAAAACCTAAGAGACTTGAAACGTGATTGTCCTGAGATTTTGAAGAATAGCATTTTTTTATTGTCAAATCATTTTAAAAACCGAGGACATATCCGAATAGGGGAGGCCACTTGCCACCCCCTGCACCCCTTGGCTACGCCCATGAATAAGTCTTTGAACTTTTAATGTTTCAAAATATATATTCTTTTGAAAATGATACAAAAGTATGCAATTCCCTCTTACAGGACTGGAGATTCGACGTCTTGGGCAATGTTGATTGTAGAAACGTGCAATTGCTGAATGAAGTTGAGAGAATCGCATTTCGTAACCAACAACTATACGACCCGTTTGATGCTCTACTAGTTGCGATATTTTTGCACCCTGAAAAATGCATTCGAGCCAAATATTCTTATAATGCAACTGTTGAGTTGCAAGGACATCACACTCGCGGCCAAATGATATTCGACCGTCGCAGCAATAAACATAACGTAAGCGTCATAGAGTTGCTGCATGGAGACGAAATCAAAAAACTTCTACAATGGACCGCTACAGCCTGATTCATTCCGCGAATGTTAAAATGAATGTTAATAAAAATGCATATAAACTTGATACATGGTTCCGTCTCTTCACCGTACATAGACAGTTTGTCAAAACAGATTAAACAAAAACGTGGAAACCTTTACCAAAGGTTGCTTTGGACCGTTTACTATCTGACTACTATCAAGCATTTCCATCTTGGTTGTATGACTGTGTTTTCGTTTCCATGTCCTACTTGTGTAAATGCTGATAAGATTACGAAAAGAGCCAGGTTTTTAACGAGGCGAGAACTGATAATTATTGTTATTATAAATCATTGTAAACAAATACAAACTGATGTAACAGTCTTGCACTCTTTTCCGGCCACACCTCTATTCATTACAATATATTCAGCCAGAGCTTGGCGGTGTTAAATAAATAAATAAAAATAAATAAAAATCGTTTGGATTTGAAAAGTGGATAGAAACGTTTAGCACAGTACAACAATGGAAAAAAAAAGAGTCAGACAACCGGGACTTGGCATATCAGAGGTGTTAGTACTACCATAGGTGAGCAAAACCCTAGCTGGGTTTTGAAAGTTTGATACCCAGCTATAGCGTATTGGTTAGCGTGCTAGCGTTATAAGCGT